TGCAGCTGCGAAAATTGTAAAATTGCTACATATTGACACTGTCAAGTGGCGATCGACCAATGCAGACTAATTGCCACACGAGTGTGCTCAGCAAGACCTCCAATATTGAAGTTGGCCTATTTGATTACGCAATTATGGCCAGGCAGTTGCAATGCATATCAAATAGAGTGGCAGAACCAAACAGACTCTTTTATTCTCTATTTATAGATATGCAAATTCCAACTATTAATGATTACAAAATGAATAGAAAACCTTTGAGATTTTGAACGTTGCCGGAAGACCTAAAAATTGACCGCTTTAAGGGCAGCCTGATTAGTACAGCTAGAAATGGCGGCTATTTATTTATGTCTATTCTAGATCTATTTATTTAGAAGTGGAGGATATTTTTTGCAAAGAAACAACTATGATAATTTTAAACGTTTCTGCAAGATCTTAACTGTTGAAGAGCGAGTTATGCATTGGAAGCCAATAGAAGCGTCATGAAATCAAATCATGATATGCTCGATTATATTTCGGAATGTTCCAGCATGTTCCTAAATTTCCCATTTAGTTGTAAAAAAAAAACTTTAATAGCAATGAAAACAATATTCAGGAAATATTCTTGACTCGACGAATTAATAAATCTTTTGCAGAGGCCTAAAGTGTTTCTATTTTCAAGTCACTCACAATCCAAATTAAGTCGCAACGATTGCGAGTATCTTAAACTAAATGCAAAAGCAGAACGCTTCCCAGTCAACTCGTGGATAGAGAGTTGCATTGAGAAGACTTGATGGAGTGTCAACACAAACGTGAATGCAAAGAGCACGGTATTGGCATCTTAAATTTCATTTCTAAATAGTGCTGAAAATAAATTATAGTCTGCGAAAGAGAACACAGTCTAATCGCTGCTTAAGCCATATAGAAATAAAAGCTTTCATCATTAATTGATTTATGGCATGCCACAATAACACTAATTTGAATTCTCTATAATAAACAAGCGACATTAATTTTCAAACATTTTGAAGATGCTGAGCTTCAAATACTGAATGAATGAATACTTTCGCTCGTAAATGAGTGTAGTGGGAAAGAGGTAGTGGCTGCGTTCTGATCTCATATTGGGTCGGTCAGCTAAAAATAATTTGTAGATTCAAGCTATATTACAACTTATTATATGATCTGGCTCCGTGGAAAAACAAAAACATTTCATTCACACACACAGCACTCAACAAAGCGCGATAATGATAAATAATAACAACAATAACAACAAAATTAAAATAAAGTTGGTCAACTCGAAAACAAAAAAGGTAGCAGTAAAGCCAATGTGGAATTCGTTGGCGTTGTTTAAGCCGCGCTCCGCGTGATGCCGTTACCACACATTTGTTACAACTGAATACTGGCGGACTGGGCCGACTAGGCAGACTGGTCAAAACAACAAATGGTGGCCATTCGGCTGACCATTTCACTCGCAGCTCGCAGCTCACAGCTCACAGCTCGCACATCGCAACTCGAAGCTCCAAGCTCACAAGTCGCAGTGGCGCATGTGTGAAATGAGTGCGCATCGTTGGCGCTGGCCAGAGTTGTTAGCCACATACACACACACACACACACTCGCACATATCCGACCACAATTTTGAGTGAAAACCGTGCAAGGCACAATCACACACACACACAGACAGACATGTGCGCACTAAACCGAGCGTAAAGCTGAAGAGAAAGAACTGGAAGCCAAACTCATGAAAGTCGTGTGTCCACTTCCCCGCTCGCATTTTGTGCATTTTCGAGCTGCGCTTTATTATACCTGCACATGTGTGTGTGTGAATGTGTGTGTGTGAATGTGTGTGTGTGTGTGTGTGTCTAACTGTATCGCATGTAGCAACCTGTCGGAGTCTCTCAGATTGGTCAGCCAAGCTCTCCAACTTTGGCTTTTGACGAGTTTTCACGCATAAAATGAATTGAATTAAAAAAGAAATAAATGAATAACACACCAGTTTAAAGAAATGCTCCCCAACAGCACTCAAAGTGAAAAATTGGCTGACTGACATACGCCACTTATATATGCATATACATATGTATAGTATGTATGTATATCCATACACTCTATTTATAAAATCCCATTCAAGTGCAAGCTTTGAAGCTGCCCGCAAATGGGGCTGGCCAGGCATGTGAGCTTCACTGAGCTTTATGCGTGCAAATATGCGCGCGCATCACATAATTGAAATGAAATCCAATGAAATTAGTGGTGATCGCTAGACTAACTGCTTTGAGGACTGATGTATTGATCCGTTAATGCGTTCGAGGACACGATCAGCAGGAACCAACCAGAACGGATAACATTAGAAAAATTAAATTATACAAACAGCTAATTCCATTTCGACTGGCATTTATATGTGCGTGTGTAGGAAACGTTTTAATATAATTTTATTTTATTATAATCTCATATTAAAAATTCTGAAAAATAAAATTTAGTTTTCCATAACGTTTAAAGAGCTAATCGAATAATTATTAAGTAGAACAAACTATTTTGACATAGTTCGAGCATTGCAAATTATACTAAGACTCATTCACTAATGGTTCATGGCTTTTTTCTGTAGACACCGTTCTTTGCGATCAATGATTTTCAACATATGTTTCAAGAACATGCAGTTGAAAATTTGTATACTAATAGACTCGATTCCAAAACACAGAAATTATGCACATCATCAATAATATGAATTATTTAATGTTTCGTTTTATAGTTTTAGTAAAATTAAACAAAGTATTAATGACTTCGAAATTTCTAAAACACAATATTTTCAAGAATATCTTTAAATAGCATATGGAAAGCTTTCAAATTTTTCCCACTCTTACTCTTTACTCTATTTACAACGGACGAATGGTCGCAAATACCCCACTGTGTAGCGTATGTGGCCAAGCCCGAAAAAAATATGCAAAGACAAAAAACAAATAAACAAACTTCCAACTAAAAATAATAATAACAACAACAACAAGCAAAATCAGCGACCCCTTCTCAAATAGCAACAAGCGATCGGTCAACAAAAAAAAGAAATAAAATGGAAAATAAAAACCAAAGCCGCAGCCAAAGCTGAAGCTGAAGCTGGAGATGAAGCAAACAGAGGCAGCGTAAATTAAAGCAACGGTATCGCGTCCAATCCCGCTTAGCGAACGAGTTAAAGCCAGTCGACTAAATTGGAGCGAATGCCTCTTTCACTATGCGAGAGGGAGAGAAGAAGAGGGGGGGTCCCATAAGGCATGCTCCACAAGAGCGACCTTGGCGATACTCAACTTTCAGTGCCCTATTCTGGCAGATATTCAAATATAAGTATTCGTGATTTTTCGTTTAAGCTACATGCAGTCTTGCCCAAATGCAGTGCAAGCGTCTAGGTTTGGTCCGACATGCAGAAATACCTTTAGCACTTTTATTTAACAACTAACTCTCGATATTTACGAAATGAAGCATTTCAGGTAGGCTATTAATTATATATGAGAGACATAATGCTCTGGGCAAGCGCAATCGATAATACATATTATGTGTTGTCGGCTTTCTTTTTTATAATTAAAAATTTGTATTATTTGTATGTTCAATACAAGTAGAGTACAGTAGACACTTGCATATGATTGTTTTAAATATTGATTGATTGTATTTAAATATTTACATTAATTTTTGGGGGCAGAAAATATTTAATATTCATAATTATATACATATGTTTTTATGTTTCTTTCAGGTTCCAATCTTATTATTTTTATTTATTTATTTTAAAACGAGCAAAAGTCTCCATCAAAATTTAACTGTAAGTAAATCCATTTAGTAACGTTATTTCGAAAAAAAGAAAACCCCTATATCAGAATATCCTATTTTTAGGAGTATTCTCGTTGCGTTTTTCCAAATGAAAGGTGTTTTTTTGTTAAGGTGATCAAATTGTTTAAGAAAGTCTGAAATATATATTTTTGTTCCCGTGATATTCTTTATTTAATATCTGTCCAAGGTTGCACAATTATTAAATTGTATTAGAAATCATGATTTCAATATAATGCTTCTGTGATGATGACTGCGGCGTGATTTGAACTTTGGAACAATCTCACATTTGAGTGAAATAAAAAAACAAGCGCATACTTAAGTCTTAATTTTAACCTTTACAATGTATTGCGGATTAACAAAAATGCATTCCCGTGGCATTCAGATGATAAAATATTACGATGTAAAGATTGTATACAATCACTACATGTTGGGATTGCTTTAAAAGCAAGTCCTTGTAATTGCAAAATCGACCGATCGTTCACATGGAAATTGTGGGATATAAGCAGTGGCGCGATCCGGCAATTATTGACAGTTAATATGCTTTCAGAAATGCGCAAAGTGTTGTTAACTCCATAGTTTAAAAACTGAGAGACTTGAAGAAAAGTAAACAAACGCACATCCTGCTAATCATTTAGGTATACGTACTTTTGACCACTACACCGACCGCTACAGAAATCCCACCAATAAGCCGTTTGCAAGGACTAAGGAGTTATCTTAAGGCATATCTAAATGCATATAACAACAACAACTCTTCCGAATGATATCGTTTCTATAATAGATATATGACAAATATATTATCTGTGTCCTGCCAAAAGAAGCCTCCATGCAAAGTTTTATTGCGTTCGTGCATTCTTTCATCTTAGTGTTAACAAAATACCGTTTCACCATCCAGTCGAGTGTATAAATATACAAAAAGAGCAACTCAAGGGAGTCAGGAAACATAGTTTTAAATATCCTATGACTTCGACGGCTTGCATTATAGGATGCCTAACCTAATTCTAATCAGTTGGAGTTTGCATTAGACACATTAAATACATACAAGGGGTATTCCAAAGTAAACAGGACTTTTAAAAAAAACAGAACAAATGGCAAAATCAATTTATTTTAGATTCAAAAGTCCTGTTTACTTTGGAACACTCCCTGTATTGACTGATTAATAGAGTCCCCTACGAAAATTGTTGTTCACTCAAACAATTAAATGAAAGAGGTAGGTAGGATTACTCACCTTGCGGAACTCCTGCACAAAGCTAGTGATCATCGATTGTATGGAGGCAGCGCGTGATGCATGCAACGCCAGATGCTTGCCGTTTCGCAAATTGAGCTGCAGAGCTGCCGGTCGCGGTAGAGTGATAGCATTCTGTATCTCAGCAAAGGAGATGGCCTGCACCACAATCAGATAGTCGGCGTCGCGGCGGGCCAAATAAAGGCCGCTGTGTGAGACGCCCATGATGGATACGTCGGGATATAGTGGCGCCCCTTGCACTGCAAAAAGGCGTGCAAAATAGAGTGGCCAGTCGCGTGCCATATCCACCAGATGACGCTTGACCAATGCACGAACATGTTGACCCCGAGTTGATAACGTGTCCACACTTACACCATGGCCGTGTAGCATATTGAGGGCGGCACCCTTTTCCTGGGGCGTGATACGTAAACAGGGCGTCACCCCGAATACATCGGTGACGACTTGAGCAAAGAGCAAATCGAGGGCCACTGGCGGCCCGATGGGCTCGTGTGGCTGAAAGACCTCCTTGCGTACACGCAGCTTCCATGGCACGCGGTTGTAGGTAAGGCAGGCATTAGCTGGTTGCTGTAGGGATGATGCCGTTGGGGGCACTGGCGCTGGTACTGGCGGCGGGGAGACGACCGCAGACGATGGCCACTCGTTCGTTTCATTGTCAACATCATCGCGTCGAAGACTCTGCATCGTTGAAGAGCTGGCTGAGGATTTGCGCTTGCGCTCGTGCTCGTATTTTTGTGCCATGTGTGTCCGGAACGTGGGAGGTGCGACAGATGCATTACCTGATCCACCGCCCATTCCCATTGGCTTAACAGCCGTGTCCATGCTGGCCTGTATAACCTTAGGCGGCGCCGGTTGATAGACTTTGTGGCTCTCCTTTTCTCTTTCCACTTGCCGCAGCTCATAGAGTCGCTCACGCTTCTCGCGCTCCTTTTCGCGCTCACGCTCACTACCGCTGCCTGAGGCGGGGCCTTCAACCTCAGCGCGATCCCATACAGATTCTGAGTAGTCTTCGCGATCACGAGAACGACTACGACTACGTGAGCGCTCACGATCCGCCTGCAGGTCCTGTTTGTAGCTAGTCTCATAGACCAATTGCAGCTTAGCTGCTTCGCTGCGTCCCCAGCTATCGTATGTGATGGGCTGACGAATACTTTCGGCCATTGCATCGTGTGTGGTTACTGCTGATGCAGATGTCGTCCAATTGTGGCGTGCGGCACCAAAAGTATCGCGTTCCTGTCGCTGAATGAAAGCAGGCACATCCTTACGGTAGTCCGGCTCTGGGGCCATCTCTATTTGTTCCACGGGACTCTTCGGCACTGGCGGAGGTGCGGGCGGGGCTATAGTGGGTGGTCTTATGGGTGGAGGTGGTGCTGGAACACTGGGTGCGGGGGGCACCACACCAGGCCATGCGCCTGAGAGCTGTGGCGGTGGAGATAGCTTTCCCTCCATACGTTCAATTTGTGTCCGCACTGTGGGTGAACCTTCCCCTCCGGACTGCGCACCAAACAGACCACCCAGCTGCTGCTGCAGCATTAACTTGCGTGTGTCCTCCAGCTTGGCAGGCGCACGCTGCTCTGATTTGTTGGATACCGTGGATCGCACCGAGTGTCCGGCGGTAACTTGCTCCAAACGCTGGCGCATCTCGGAGCTAAGCTTAAGTTTCCCAACGCTACCTGGTGGTGGACGATCGGCGCCAATCTCGAAGCTCTTCTTAGCCAACTTGGTGGCAGTGATGACCGTTTGTTGAGTGTTAACTGTAGCCGCGGCATCGTGCACATCCTTGCCAACAGCGATTCCATTGCCTCCAGTCGTCTCCAGCTTGATGGTGGTGCGCACCAGCTGTGTGGTGTGCATGGCCGGCAGACTGAGACCCGTCGGTGGTGTTGGACTCTTCGATGTCTCAATTTCAAACTCTTCCCATTCAATAGCTGCGGCATTACCAGCAGGGGTAGAACCATTGCTACTCGAGTGAAACTGTTGTGACTGTGGTGTCGTCTTGCGCTGATGCTGGCGCATTTTAAAGGCAAAGAAATCCTCCTCAGTTTGAAATTGTGGCTCATCCTGGGGCGGTGGCCAGCGCCATTTGCCAATGCGCACCGTCTTAGCGCGCCCATAAGGATCGAGAAAATGTCGTGTCTCTGAAGGATCCTTGCCCTCAATTGGTGGCGGCATGGGCGGTGGTGGTGGCGGCGGTGGTATCAGTGACCCACCGACCTCCGCAGACATTTTGCGCTTTTCGGCCGCAAATTGGGATATGCGGCTCTTAACGCGTATCGGTGACTGCAGAGCTGACGTTGTTGTTATCTGTGGTGTAGGTGAGGTGCTGCTATTAGGTGGTGGAGTAGCCACCGTGACACCTGCGGCCGGCTCTTGTTGACTAAGTAGAGTTTGCAGCGCCTGATTCTGAGCCAGCAGCTGTTGCTGGATCTGAAGATTCTGCGCCATGGCTGACTGCAGGAAAGCACGCTGCACCTGCTGTTGGTAAAGTGTGGGCGAAGCATCTGTATCAGCTGGTAGCTGCACCAGCTGCATCAGATTATCCGCATTATTGTTGGTAAGACTTGTACTGCTAGTAGCAGTGGTTCCGCCTCCCTTGATGGTATCAATCAGTTCCTGTTGCGTGGTCAACGTCTTCACGGCCTCGCTCACGAAAATTGGCTTAAACAGTCCTGTAATGTAGTCATCCAGATTTCCAGCTCCACCGTTTGTGGTTCCATTCGACTGATGGTGCTGTGGCTGATCTTCCAGGGGCTTTTTTCGTCCCCCACCACGTATGCTAGCCGCCAGTGAACGCGCATCCGAAAGCTCATCCAATGAACCATCCAAAACAGGACTGAATAGATCGTCAAGGAACTGATCCACATCCGAGGCTTGCGAGGGCACTCGTACACGTCGCACATGCGAGGCCAGCGAAGGTGCCTCACTAGTATCCGACATTGCCGAAGAACGCGTCGCATACTCTGATTTATCCATATATTTACTTGAATGTGAGCCATGCGAGGCATGCGAACGTCTTCCGGCATTCTGTGACTTTTGATAGCGTGGGGCTGCCTCTTTGCCCATTGGAGCTAGACGCTCGGCCGAATGGTAGCGGTCGTTAAGGCGGCTTTCCGACAGCCCAAGCGTGTGCAAAGGCTCCGTCTCCGATTCCGGCAATGGTTCCGCATCTGCAATATCGCCGGCCAACAAATCATCCAATGACTTGGATCGTGACTTGCTCTGCTCCTCCCGTTCAAAGTAACGTTCATTCAGGGCTGAACTGCGTGACAACAACTCTCTGGAACTTCTGCGCTGAGGAGGTGTCGGCGTTGACAGATCCTTGTGTGCAGGGGGCGCTGGAGGCGGCACACCAGGTCGCTTTGTAACTCCAGTTCCTGCAACATGCTCGGGCAGCGAGGTGCGTGCAAACTTGGCTCCTGAACGCAGTAGATCACTGCGCGGTGCTGGGAAAGCAGGACACAGCTCCTTTTCTGCAATCAGATCCAGTACATAGTCCAACCCACAGCTATCTGTCAACTGTTGACCGTCATCCAACACTACTGTCCAGCCACGACTAGCCACACCAAGAGTCGACACAGCCAGTGCAGCAGCTTCTTCGCAGGAAGTCCAGGAATCAATAGCTACTGTTTGAGTGCCTTCATCCGGTAAAGTAAGCGCTACAGCCATATCGGAAGCCCTCGAATTCGCACGCCACTCTAGCCAGGCTGGGACAAAGCTGCGACTGGCATTCGCTCCAGCGCTCTGTTGGCGCAGCAGTTGACGCAAGAGTTGCTCTTGCTGCGGCTGTGGTGCTTCATCGGCTACAAACTTCATCAGATACTTGCCAAAGGCGGGGCTGGGCTGAAAGCAACACAAGCATTGCCCAAGGAGTTGCCATAAACGTGTTGCTTGCATTCCCTCCGCCCCATGCACCTGATTGCATATCTGGACCAGAATCTCATCGCGAAGTCCTCTTGATGAAAGTCCCTTGTGCACAATATAGTCGGCCAACACCTTCTCCTTGGCCCCGTCCAACGCCTTGTCGTTGCTCCAGCGCAAGATGAGTTTGAATACGGCCAGTGCATCTTGAAAGTCCTGATCTCGAGAAGCAGCACGCGTCAAAAAGGGAGTAGTAATAGGTTCACGTCGAGGATGCAATCGCATGCCATTGCAGTAAACTGAACTAAACTTTCCAAAGGAAAACTGCGCTAGATCCGCAGGAAGTTCTGCATGCGCTGCCGGTGGTCCTGGAACGGTACCCAGCACTTTGACTAAGTGGCGATCGCCGTGTGGTGGCGACCATCCATCTAGCTTGGAGTAAATGAAGGCCAATTCGGCAGGTATATCCAAATAACTGAGTTGGCTGCGATCAGCCTCCTTGGCCGCTTGCTTGGCCTCACGAGCCTCCCTCGCTCGCTGTGCTGCCTGTTGTGCCTCAAGTCGTCGACGATGGTCGGCTCTCAGCTGTTGCACACGCACTCTAGCTCGACGTCCACGCCACAAGCTTTGCGCTGTGACCGCTCCTCGACGTAGACGCAGATATTGCTTCCGTTGGCGCTGTCCACGCCATCTGGCTTGCAAGCGTGTGGCTGCGGCTTGGCGCCTAGCCAATGCTCTTCTCACTAACATACCACGAACATGACGCTGTATGCTTACTGCTGCTCCCCGAAGTCGCTCCGTACGTCCACTCTCCAGTGCTCGGTGCAGGGCCTCACGCAGGAAAACTCGCGTCGCTCCCAGCTGATAATCCGGCCCATCCACACCCGTACGTGGCATAGCTTCTAAGAGTGCTCGGCATAGCTCCCGATAAGGCGTGCCCCGTGCCAGGGGTGTGGTTAGCAAATGACGGTAGCGTTCCACAAAGTGCTGGAAACGCAGACGCACTGGATAGCCACGTTGCCGGATCTGAATTGTATCCAGCATACCCAAATAGCGCAACTGTTGCAACACACAAGGCATGTCCATTCTCAGTGCATGTTTTTCATGATTCGGTTTGATGCAGCGTACGAACCATGGATGACAGCGACCCATAGACTGCAGCAGTTGCTGAAGGGAATCTGCGAAGCGTGCGGCCACCGTCGGCGTTCTTGGCTTCATAGTCACGAAACGTCCGTTACTGCCCTTGGGCAGCGTCTTTCCCGCATCCCGTTGAGCGCGCAATTGTTTCGTAAGCTCGGCAACCAAAGGCAGGCGACTGGAGCCCAGGAGTTCGAGCACATCTCCACGCAAGGCATCCCGATTCTTGTCCAGAAAACCATCCACACAGTACCACACCTGTCCGGCATAATGAGTGACGCCAAATTCCTGAGCACCAATGCGTGGACGTGCGTAAAGTTCGTTTAGAGCATGATTGTAGTGGCACTTCTCCAGAAAGCTTAGGTCTGTGGCACGGGGAAAGTTGCTCTCATCGTCCAATAGATGGCAAATGCCAACTGGTTTTTTGGCCAGCAAATGTATGACTGGCAAGTTATCATCCCAGGCCAAAGGTGTCCATTCCAGACGTTCCCGCGCATACTCTGCCTGTTCCAATTTAAAGACATGCTTGTTGAAATACAATTGCAGATTTTCATTTGCATAGTTGATGCACAACTGCTCGAAGCTGTTCTCTGCCAGATCCTCGAAACCAAAAATATCCAGGATGCTAATGCGATGAGCATCGTGTGTGCCGCCCTTTTGTACAATTGAATTGACGCGAGACACCAGCCAATTGAAGAGGCCTGCATAAAGAGCCTTGGCAAAGGCATCGCGGGCATCCAGTGCCTGGTCTATGCCCAACGGCGTGAAAAGACGTTCAGCACGTGCCTCTGTAGTGCGACTGGTCAGCGCACGGTGCAAGCCCTCGGCGTTTATGTGCAGTAAGTGGGCAGCCCATTTTATCTCAGCATCTGATCCCACCTCGACGCCCTCTTGGCCATGGCGGAGCTGTCTACGATGAAAGTACACATTTCCCAGATGTAGCACTGCGGCTAGGACGCGCACAATTCCCTCGCGTTCTCCCTCAGAAACGCCCAGCACCTGCATGGCACTTTGCAACGACGCCCAGTCCACTCGTCCTGGCGCACAGTCTGTGGCACCTTGATTCAAATAGAAATACTTGTCCGCCTCAAGTAGACCATATTTTGTCCGTTCCGCCTCAGCTAGGCCTCCAAGCATCTCGTAGAAGACGTGATAATTTCGCTCTCCCGGCGCCTGTGTCACAATGCGGGACTTCTCCAGCAGGTACTGCGTTATCTTGGCACCCACAATGGCACCGCTTTTGAAGTACACCTCTAGATATTTACCAAAACGGGAACTATTGTCGTTACGGGCAGTGCGTGCGTTGCCGAAAGCTTCCAACAAAGGAGCTGCTTCCAGGATTTGCTCCGTAATTACGGCCGAGGCTGAGCCACCACCCGGAACCACAGCGGCCAGGTACTGCATAACTAGTTTCGTCGATTCCGTTTTTCCCGAACCAGATTCTCCCGAGATGACGACCACTTGTGGTGACGGCAGCGCTGCATGCGCCGCAGCGCCAATCGCAAACAAATGTGGCGGCAAAGCACCCAATGGACGACCTGCATATTGCTTAGCCACCTCCAAGCCATAAGCATCCGAAAACATCTTGTACGGATTGACAGCAATCAGAATACTGCCAGCGAAAGTGTAGATTAGGCCCTTGTCATAGCGTAGGCGCAGATTCCAGAGCAATGAGGCCTCGTGCAGGTCATCCAATAGCGTCATGTCCTCCACACCACTGCTGCCCAAGTCCTGGCGCGGTCGCAAATTTCCTTCGCCTGGCTGCAGCGCAAATGTTTGTGGCTGTAAGAGAGGGGTAATGAGAAGTGTTATTAGCTATTTATTGGTAAACACACATCAAAAGCGCATAATGCCAGGAACTAGTCAATAGTCAAGTATAAATTAGTTTGTATCTTATTGAGCGATAGCGTATATTAACAAATCGGATTTAAGCATAAAAACCGAATATTAAGCACTTTGAATAGCACCTATGGACTCAAAAGATTTTTGTTCCTATCTATAGGAAAATTTGTGGAGTTGCATAGAATTTATAAACGGCAATTAATCTTGCATATAAATTTGGAATAAAATATTCATCAGCTCCAATAATGGAAACGAATACGTTTTCCATCTATCAAAGAAAGTGTTTTTAACACTCCAGAGAGTGGCCTATTTTTCAATCGATTGTGTTATTTTCTAAACCGCTAATTAAATTTCGGGCTCATTGTTTGACCCATTGACCTACTCTACCCACATGTCGTGCAATGACATCGCTGCATAGTGTTGACAGACGCTTCACCACTTGCGGATAGCGGCACTTGGCCCTGCGTTCTCTCTCCCTCAAATACTTAGCCCGTAGGGTGGCCGAGTGCGCATCCGCATGCGGCAAGTCCTCCATGCTGGCCGGACGCTGGCGTCGCAGCACGTGTGGTGAGAGCAGCGCCAATGATGGTGACTGTGCGGGACTGGGTGTCACGGAGCCGCAGCGTTGCCATGGCTCCAGATGGAAGCGTACTATACGCATTAACCGTTACACGTGTCCCACGGAGCACCGATCACTGTGCACGATCCAGCACAAAATCAACAGCGGCCAGAACAACAATTTAAGAAGAACTGGCGGAATAACGTTTGCTACCGTGTCTCGAATGCAACTGAAAGCAGTTCCTGCCGCACGACATTTGGAATTGGTTAAACCGAACGGTTTTCCACGGCACACACAAAAAAAAAAAAAAAGCAGAAGACATCTAGACATCCAAACGATGGAAACATATCGGGTTTAAACACGTTTACACGCATGCTTCAATGCGTGGGGGGAGGGGCAGGGAGGGGACGATGGTGGCGTGCGACAACGTCAACGGCGACGACGACGAAGACGACGGCCAAGACCACGATATCGATACTCCTGCAGCTTGCTTAACCCATGTTCTCCACAGTGCACAAAACCTGTCGCATCCACATGTGTTCGCGCGTGTGTTCGCGCGTGTGTGTGTGTGTGTGTGCGTGCGTGTGATTGTCTTTGTGCGATCGCTTTGATGGCTGTGATCTTGTGATCCGGCGGCCATTCAATTATGTGAGAGAGCTCTCGCCACAATTGCCATTGCCAGTGGACTTTCTCTCAGCCATTTGTGCGCCTAGCCGCACAACCAGTTCAAGTTCGTGGTCACTTGGCTATCGGCTTCTACCTGTAGCAAGCCAGTCGGCGCAGTGTGCAGTTATATTTAATTCGTTCTCAGTATTCCATGCACCACATGCTAAAGAGTGCGGCATGTGGAATATGTAGTTAACGTTGCGACATCCAATACCCATCAGTTTATATAACAATTTTAACTACCAATAGACAAATTGTTCCTAAATAAAAGGACCTTTCTTCTACAAATATTCGAAATAATTGCACATATTTTTTCAAATAACATAAATAATTGGATTTTTTTTTTCAAATAATCTATGTGAGGTCAACCAAAAATTATTAAATACAAAAGTCTAAGTCCAAGTCACAGCCAGCAATTTTAGAACCCCTAATAGAGTAGGTAGGAATTTACGGGCTTGTGAATTTGCAAAAAAAAATTGCAGTCGACTATTTTTTAAGCTTTTCCGAATCTTAAGAATTTGCTGATTTTTTGAAAAATTACGAGCGCGCAGCTTATAGGACTTCAATGTTTACCCTACGAAGATATATTACCCTTTATCCCTAATACCTAATACCCTATCCTTGTAAAATTGCACGGCCTGAAAGGCAAAGTCTATGTAGCCCATGGCCGGCATCAACATTATAACAAGTTGTCAGACGACAACCACAATGCAGAAACAGGATATGCGGCGGCAAGTAATTCTGATTTCTTCTGCTGCTGGCGCTTAGCAGATTTCCGAGGCGGCCACCTGGGCGAGAGGCCTAGCCTAGCCCCCTTCCCCCTACTCTTTCTCTTTCTCTCTCTTTACTTATCTCTTTGCGTTTTGCATAGGAAAAGGGAATGTGTAACTACTGGCAGCGACTCTGGATTTCGAAGGCGCTAGAATTGTGGCACTTCTCTTTGATGGTTGGCTACTTCTGGTCTATGGGTAGTGCCTAGATGTGGGCGTAGACGCTAAGCGCACACATAACCCATTTATCGTTTACCAAAAATAAGGAAAAAAGAAAAGCAGTCAATAAACTTTGCAAAGCAGAAATGGAGAGAAACATAAAAATAAATAAACTGGTCTGTGCGGTGCCGTTGCCGTTGCTACGATTTTGGTTTGAGCCGCTTACAAAACACTTCCGTTGTTGTTTCTGTTGCTTGTCGTATACTATTACTGTATCTGTTTGTTGTTGTTGTTGTTGTGCTGCTTAATTGCACACAATTTTGTTTAAACAATTAAACGACATCAACGCTGTCGTCATCAACGTCGCTATCGCTGTCGCTGTCGCTGCCACGAAAAATTGGCACATACTTGTACAAAATGAAAGAAAACATTCCTTAAATTCCAAAGCCCATCAACACAATGTTGCACACATTTACAAGTATACATTCATATATATGCATACATTCATGCATATGCATGTACATGTGTTAATAAAATCGTATACGTATGCCATTGACTTTAAGTGAAAATAGTGAAAACCATTCATAAATATGAGCGATGGCCGGCCCTTGCTCAAAATTGGAAAACAAAACAAAACACAAAGAAGGTGAGAAAACTTCAAGTCTCTCTGCTTCTACAGTGACTGCAACAAATTATCGGCCGCCGCAACTATTTGAAAATGTGCTCTTTCTGCAGCCTAAAATCGATTAGTTTTGGATGCGCAACTACAACTATTTCATTGTGCACATCATTCGATTAGACGTAATTGATTTCTAATGTAGTGTAACTAAAAGAGCATTTGAAGTGGCGACTTATAGTAAGCCATGAAATGCCAAGAAAAAATAATAATAATAGCAGGTGTGTCAGTTCTACAGAAGTAATACGATTATCAGATACCAATAGTAAAGCCACATCCTCAGAGATTTCAAAACATTAGCTCCGGGGCTATGAAACTGAATATTTACTGTACTGTTTCGTATTATTCATTTTGTAGGCAGCTTTTTGAAATCAAACTTTCCTTTTTAACGGACTTTAAAAAAGGCTGTTGATCTCAAATGTAGGCACTTCTTCGCACTTCAGTTATCTACTGAGTATTTAGTGTTTTGTTACTTTTACATTACCAGAACATATTTTTTTCTAGCTAACAGGGCCGTGGTTCGCTTTTCTTTAGATATATTTAATAAATTCAAGATACTTTTTTCAATTAATTATCCTAGAGGATGCTTGAGTAAGTAATACAACAAGTAACACTCGTGTCCAAATTTAATCTTCCGAGCTTCAGTGATTTTAACTTGGACGATTAGCTAGCGATCAGCACATCAATTAATTACGCTACCAAGAATTTAGAGAAACTTTTGGCACTGCCTCGTCCTAGTCTCTTGTATTTTGTAATGCCTAAGAACTTATTTAAATGCATATATAATTACGATTATATAGCTTTACATTATTTTCTTATACTTGTATATAAGGAATATCGTTAATTGTCTACACCAACGGCCGAAGAGCCGGGTAAGGAGAGAAAGCAACATTTTTGCCTGAATATTAAGTGAAATGAATGCCTAAATATTCACATAAGATATATGACTAATGTTCGAGGTGCGGGGTAAAAACAAAAAATGGGTCAACGACTCTTTTCGTTTAGCAGCTTCCGCTAATTATAGCATTACTCACCTTGCCCTTGATTAGTGCCTGAACAACAATCACTTGAGCCGCACGGTGCACCTCCTGAATCTCACCGGGAATGGGATGTCCCACGCCTGGATCGAACCAGACCAAATCACCTTCGGCCCAGTCCATTTTTGTGTTGTGTTGTTGAGCAATCCAGTCCAATCAAATTTCCTGGCTTCGAGCTCAACTTATCGTTAATTTATATCTTCGTATCGTATATAGCGTTGTAAAGGGGGCGTGGCGTTGCGTAAATTTTAAAGCTGCTGGCCAATTCACGTTATAAAATACATTGCTGCAAATAGAAACAAAACAAAATAAATTTAATCAACTTTTCACAAAGAGCGCGCTCAGGCAAAAAAATTCACGTAATTATCTTCGTGCAGTCGAGCACCTTTCCATATAAAAAACCACAGCCTATGGCATATTAAAAAATTGTTTATGCTTATCAGCAAGCAGTCGCGGTGACGATGACGAAGCCGATGCCGACGATGATGGCGACGCCGCCATTCACAAGTGATTGTGTGTGAAAAGTTCACAGTGGCCGCCACACGTCGCATCGTGATGAATGAAAGTAAAGATTTTTTCTTTCTTCCATGATTATTTGCCCATTTCGAAATGTGTACAATCGAATCGGCTGATGCTATGGCGAAACTGAAGACAAAATCCATGCCAGTGGCACTGCAACTGCAACAACGACAAACATTTCGCAACTTGTGCATCAGGGAATCTCCACGGACTCGTAAGTGATGAAGCAATTTGTCGATACATTCCAATACCTTCAAATACGTTATCGAAAGTCTAGACTTTCGGATTAAGTATTCCTCAAATGTCCCATACAAATTTAGACACTGACCCGCCAGGAAAAGGACTAATTGAAACTCAAGAAACTTAAGTTCTCATGCGTGCCTTCCATTACTTTTTAAATACTCCAATATTCAAGGCAGAATTTTTGATGTGCTCGCACAACCATCAACAGTCAAATTGTATATCAGTATTATACATACCATATACATATTCACAAAAGGGTATACTTGTATCTAAAAGCGTCTATCTTTTTATATATAAGTACAACTATATTGCAATAAAATGAAAAAGATCCCAGTTTCAGGATATGGTAGACAAGATGCTTAAAATTGCAAATCAATTTCTTGCTTAAATAAAACATTAGAACATAAGCAGACAACTTCAGTCATTTTTCATCTCACATGTGTGGGTTGAAGCTCTGCAGCAGACTGACCTACTTCATACATTTTATTCATTTGAAAGCGTTCAAAAAATTCAATTTAATAAATAAACAAAAAAATAGAATAAATGACTTCTGATTATAGAAGAGAATGCTTAACTTCGCCATTTATCATAATTTATGTTTAATGGAATACATTTTGCACAGCAATTAATTAAAATCAACTGTCTACTTCATTAAGAAATGGCCATATATAAATTTTAAAAATAATATGACCCCAAAAGTGTTGCCTAGAATATTAAATAGCAAAGCAAGACAATGACAAGACTCTGTTGTTTCTGTTGCTCTTATTTTTGTTGTTATTGTTGTTGTGGAAGCAACTTTCACCTGTTTTGTGGCACAGCCTTTAAACATAAATATTTATGCCCAAAAATGACGCAGCATGGACTTCGACAATCAAGCTGACAGTCAGACAGAAATTGATTTGTATTTGCCAGAAACGAACATGAACAGAAATTTGTGATTTTAATGTATTTTTGGATATGTGCACACACTGTGGAATGGCTTCAAAATAGTTAAATATTGAGCAATGAGAGAAAAACACAAAATGTGTGCTGTTGTTGTCGTTGTTGTTGTTGTTGTGTCTCTTGTTGTTAAATAGCTGGCAAGTGCTTACGAATTAACAAAATCAACAGAACTCGTTTCACTTAAACTAGCAATGCGACGCACAGTGATGGCCAATGATAGAGACTGCAAATGCTAATAACATTTGAGGCAAACAGTTAAGGCAGCAGCCACTCATTCAGTCAGTCATCCAGTCATCCAGTCATTCAGTCATTCAGTTTGCCGCTTGATCAGCGCTGCTTGCCAACCAACACGTACGCATACCTCTGTAGCCTCCACTCCCTCTCTAGCGCCATCTTGCTCGCTGGCGCGCATGCGCACTCGCTCTTTTTCTTTCAAGCTACTAAGATATACACACATACATACATATGTGTATATAAATACTTATATACGTATGTATATATGTTGGCTTGGCTACGAGTTCGACCGCATTCCAATGCTAAGACGTCGCATGGCTTGGCTCTAGCACTTTATGCGATAACTGCTGCCTCAGCTGCTGCTGTCTGATGCCTTAATGCAACAACATCAACCACAATAACACCTCAACTATATTCGGCATTAAATAAATAACATTTACTTAGTCAGTCGGATTATCTCAGAGACTGGCCGAACAAATTATAGCCATTTTCTTTACCAAGTTTGTTGCCTAAGTTTTTCGTTTTACCCGACCAACCCAAAAATAAAGCATTTCTTTACATTTTCAGCAGTAAGGTGAGCCGAAAAATAAAAATAAAAATGAAAATAAAAAATTCCCATGACTAAATGCGTTAAAATTTCTACCAAGTTGTGTCAGATTTCTATTGAGCAGCCGAACAAAATTTTTAAAAATGATTTTAATCTAGCTTTTTGTGTAGCTGTTTAGATTTTTTACACGCGCGTCGTCTCACTGTCTATGGCACATAAATTTGTGCTTTATGACACACACACACTCACACACACACACATGCGCACCTGCTCAAATCTTAAATTATGCATAAGATAGATGTGTGTGGCACTAAAATAATAATAAAGTTTTCATGTGTTTGTTGTGGAAAAGAGACTTTGTCAGCTGCGCGCTTTCGACCATGCGGCAGCCTTTTTGCTTGCTTGGTAAGTTGGCTTGTTGCTTGGCTCGTTGTGAACCACATTCTTGGCATAGTTTACATTGATAAATTGCTGAGGTGGATACATGAATGTGCGAGTATAGGCCTTGCAGCGGCAGCCAAAACGTCGCGGCGCTTAAAAAACAAAAACGGCCAACATGGATGAATTAAAAGACCAAGTTAGCGCATAAAATGTTATATAATTGATAGACAGGTGTTCAATTGGTTACATATTCAATACTCAATGAATCAAGTGTTTGGTATTGACGTTTTGTAACCCTGAATTCCCCTTGCACCAACACAAAAATAAAGCTCGCACAGAACATAAAAATGAGTCCACCAAATATTTTCTTCAGATTCTCCATTTATGTGTTTAAAAGCGGCAATAAAAAAGTATTAACATGCAAACCAAACGTAGCTCTTAACTATTATTACTTTACCATTTCTTATTAAGAATTTCTAAAAATGTACATAAATTTAAATAACTAAGATGTAAGATTTATTTTTCATATATATTTTAAATATCTTAAACTACTTAAATAACTCTTTTTCCCAAATGTTCCTCCAGAACACGAAAAACTTTACGACAGACAAATGCTACTCAATTCAATGGGCAATTGGCACTTTAAAGTATATTCCCAATTTAATTTAACAATTATAAAGTTTTAAAAAAGCATTGTAGGTGGTATGTCTAGTTATTAAATATATTTTTTTATATATGGTACTAGTGATAGCAGGGTATACTGTGCTTTCATTTGATTTCCTTTTTAAACAACGAAGTTATTGATTCGCTTATTATTCCACTAGGGAGAGAAATATTTCAAGCATATTCGTATGCCAATTGGTCCCACTGCTACCTAAAACAGGGCTGATAATGTATTTGTTTCTACACAAATAGTGCTAGAAAAGCCACTGTCTTCAGTTATACTCCAGGGTTAGTGAAGATTTATTTTTGTAATTAAATTATTGAACAAACAATTCCATTCCATGCACTGTCATATATGGACTTATATTTGTTATGTCATTACCAATCTAGGTAACAAATACTTAAGCACACTTGCTGTCTATACACATATACTAAAAATATACATATACTCGTATGTATGTCAGTTAGCTGTGTCGGCCCTTCGCAAGCCACAAGAATTTGCACAGCTGTTAATGTATGTCGCAAGTTTTGGGCCGCCCACATATTTCCGCATGAATTGTCCGCCTCCTGGCTGCCCCCCGCATCTCGCAACAGAATGACTAACTGGCGTTTTAGGGTGCGGTAGCTGCGTGTCAAGCTTAAAGGCACAGCCAAAACCTAATTAAAATGAACAGAAAATGCAGTTTCAATAACCTACGCGCAATTGCGCTTCGTCTGGGTGCCGCCAACTGTGTGGCACTGTGTGGCAGCAACCAACACGCAGGCGTGCAGTGAAACTCTAACAAGACGCAGATGTACTAAAATAGAAGTACGAGTACGAACATACACATGTGCCGTCTTACTGATTTATACAGTCATGTATAGAAAGAGCAGCCGCATTATTATTGCCTGCAACTTTATCGGGGCACATGCACGCACAAAAATATAAATAATAGAAGAAAAAAATGTACTCGCTTAATTATTTCATTTAAGCAACAACAGCGATCCAATTCATCCATGTTGGCGCAAATCGTGCTAAACTGAGAGTATGTTTTGATTTGGAATTTTTAATTGGCGAAGTTTGACGAACTGCAAACGCCACTTCGGCAAATGCAATCAATTTTATTTGAGCGTAAATAATTTTTACTTTCAAAGATTGTTTTATTTTAATTCACTTTTGCCGCTTTTATTTTCACATAAATAATAAACTTATTATTATTATTCATGCATTTTACTAAAAAAGAAGATAAAAACGCAACGCAAGCAGCAGCAATGCAAGAGAAAAACACCACGATACAGCGCGAATACATATTTCACACACATTACACACTTTCCACACATATTTTGAAGGCTAAAAAGGACATTAGGCCGGCACCTTTAGTTAAAGCTTACAATTATCTTTCTATATTGTAGTGACAAGAGTTGTTAATATAACTTTTAAGAATATCGACCAATTATTTATGCTTTTCCTTTAGCTGTTCCAATTTTTGTCATCTATTTCCAATTCAAATATGCTAAAAAAAAAACTTGACATCGATCCTGAAACCTCCATCGGCATTTAAATAAAAACGGTTTCGGAACACATCGAAAATCCGGCTGCCATGGCAATTATATAGATTTTAAGCATAAAACCGATTAAGAATAAAACCGATTGAAATGATATTTTCGTGAATGCAGACAGCATTTTGTTTATCACTTAAAAAATTACTATGCATTTCAAACTAAGGGTTCTCATATCGATCTAAAGTTCTACAGTAGGTCAGGACTAGACATTTTGA